AAGACAAAATAAATAAATAATGAAGGATAACACTGAGCTTATACTTACAGCAGCTCTATGAGGGAGGGAGGTGCAAGTGTTGGCTCCAAGGTGCCGAGGAGGAAAATGAGGCTTAGCCCAAGGTCACACCTGTAGTAATCACTGAAGGCTGCTTTTTAATGGGCTAAGTCTGATTCAAGCCCATGCCTTTAGCCATTAGGTTATAATGTCTCTTAAAGAAAATGAGCGAGGAGGAGAGAGGCGGATGTGTTGCTCTATACTTGTCATCTACATAGAATGAAAGGGCATTGATGGAAAAGACCCAGAGGCTGTTGGGATAGAAGTCCCTCCACTACTGGACCTCACCATCCCCACTAGTGACCTTTTCTCTTTCTGGGCATCTGTCTTTGCTCACCAGACGGTGGACTCCATAAGAGCAGAGACCTCGCCTTACGTGTTTCTGATGGACACTTGCGGTTTGGCGTCTTTTCTCATGTTTCCTATGCCTGTGAACTCAAAGGATTTTTCCCAAGCTAGAAGTCTGGGAGGCATCTATAAACCTTCCCTCTCCCCTACCCAACGTATGCCTGAAGGTACCAGCCGGCTTCTTTAGGAACTCTCAAAGACCCTGCTTCCTGCCATCCCTGGAAAACTTTCATCTTTCATTTTCATCACTGCAACATCCAGGCAAGCGCCTTTCCTGCCTCTGGCTTTGGGTTCCCCTCTGTCTGAGATGAAAACCTGATTGTTCCACTGCTTTATTTAAAATTTTAAATAGCTCCCCAACCTTTACAGGATGTATTTGTAGCCCGCCACCCCCGGCCCTCACAAGCTGTGCCTGATGAAACCTCCAGCTTCCACCCCGACCCCGTGCCCAGTTCCGCCCTGACTGCGTTATATTCTCCGGTCTCTCCCTTGCGTAGGGTGCACCCTCTGTCTGAACAGCCGTGGCCCTGGCTTTGCCTGATTCCTGCTCATCCCTCCGGCTCACACTCCCTGGAAAGTCTCTTCTGCCAAGGTTTCCTCCTGACGCGGGGGTTGGGTGGACCTCAGGCTCTCCCGTGGGATCACAGACCTCTACCACAGCACTCCGCTTACCTTACCTGTATATTTTTAAAATTTATTTAAATTATTTATTTTTGGCTGCGTTGGGTCTTCGTTGCTGTGCATGAGCTTTCTCTAGTTGCGGCTAGCAGGCTCTAGAAGGCAGGCTCAGTAGTTGTGGCGCACGGGCTTTTAGTTGCTCCGCGGCACGTGGGACCTTCCCGGACCAGGGCTCGAGCCCGCGTCCCCTGCATTGGCAGGCGGATTCCCAACCACTGCGCCACCAGGGAAGTCCCACCTGTATTTTTATACACATGCTTTATGCGGTTTGGTACCTCCACGGCCCAGGCAGTGCCCAATCAGTGTGATGGGTGCTTTATTAATGTGTGAGGAAGAAATCAGCAGGGAAGAATGAATAGTAAGCAGCCACTTGGTATACACGTGTGGAACAGAGAGGAGCATTGAGTGGATGCTGGGGGATGAGCTGAGCATTCCCAATAAAACCCAGCACTACATCTAAACTCATACCTCACTCCACGAAGAGACGACCCACTGGAGCCGACTGTTCTTGGGACATCGTCCTAGGACGCAGCCCTCCTGCGATTCTGGTCTCGGGCTGCTGGCACACAAGCTCTCAGGGACGTCCTCTACCGTGGCAGAACTTTTACACAGGACTTCACGTTTCCTCACCCCTCGTCCACAGGTCTTAGAACACTTGAGATTTAAAAACAGGCATGTACATGCTAGTCTCAAAAGACTGTCTTCCAGATGAATGCATTAATGAAGGGTTTACAGAGCAATTTTTAAGCACTAGAACCAAATGCCCAATAAAATCCCTTGCAGCCAGCACAATAAATCTTTCCTCCATCCAGAGCCTCTAAGTACAGATTACTGTTCCCTTTCAACATTCTGAATGCCCAGGGGTTGCTGTGTTGCCCCAGGTCTGAAGACAAGTTTTATTCTTAATGGAGAAGACAGGGGTTCTGTGCACAGCACACATGATAACAATTTGGAAAATGCTACAGGGCCTATTCATGGATGTAACTGTATCTCTCTCTGGCACAAGGCAGAGTCAATCTGGGCACTGGTGAAAGAGGATCGTCAGTGCTTCGGACAAGGAGAATAATAGCAAAGTATAATATGTACAATAGGGACGGCAACAGACCTGACATTTATGAAAATGGGGTGGGAGTGTCCAATCCCTGCCCCTAACATCTGCTGTTTCTAGGCGGGGCCTTGTGCTAACTCTTGGGGAAAAATTAAGTCGACACTCATCAGATATTTGGAGGTAACCGTGCACGGTGGGTTCATACTCTTCTACTCTTACTGTCTTGACCTCCACCAGAACCGTGAAACATGTAAGGCGGCAAATCACCTCCTGGCTTTCAGATTTGTACTTCACAAGTTGCCAAGATCACTTAGAAGACTTTGGCCCCAGGCTGGGGTGTGCCCTCAAGGGACGTGTCCCCTCCCTGGCCTTTACAGTCTTCTTGTTCGCCTCTCAGAAGGGCCGCACGAGATGTGGTCCCACTTGTCTTGGCTGTTTGTGAGTTTGCAAACATCTGGGGCACCGTTCCAAGCCTGCTCAGAGGACCAGTGGGAATTCTCATTCTTCCTATTTCTAAGGGAGATGGAGACAGGATGATGACGATATCATAACAATCATCTCTCTGCAAACCACAGCAGAGAATGTCTATTGAATGCCTTCTGTGCATGATGATATACCTTAGTGTATACCAGGGCCTATATCACATGACCCTCTAAAGAGCCCATGAGATAACTGCTATTATCCCATTTTACAAAGGAGGTGTCTGAGAGTCACAGAGCTTAGGTACCTTGACCAAGATGAATCGACCGTCTGCCAAGTTGTGGAGATGGGCAAATTCGTCTGATATCAGACCAGGGCTCTGCACCCCTAAACATCTCTCATTCATGTTCATAACATCCAAGTAGTTAAATTCTTATTCAATAGAATTCTTATTTATCGCGATTTTTTTCCAGCATGGAAAAATGTTTAAATTGCTTCCCAAATGGTTTCCAGAGCCATGGTCTCTAATGGAAGAACTGGTTGCTATCACAGTTCTGAAGGACCCCTTTCATACTAAGTTCTCCAAAGGACATATTTGGTTTTAGTTGTCAAATAAAAGGGGGTGTGAGGGTGCAAGGCTAAACTGCATCCGAAATCAATACGCTCCAGGATGTAATGCACCCTATGTGGAAACTCGGTAGAAATGTGGTCAGGGGCTCCTACCTGGCTTCATAGTTCAGGTGATGAAACCTCTGCATTTTCTTTGCATTAATCCCTAAAACTGGCTCGCCATCCATGGTTTGGCAGAGGCTGGGCTCTCACCTGCAAGGATGCTGTGTACCAGGGTTCTTGGCACATTTTGGACCAGATAATGTCGGGGGGCCAGACATTTTTTACAATGCCCTGTGCATTGTAGGATGTTTTCCTCTACCAACCAGATGCCAGTAGCACCATCCTCCAGAGCTGTGACGATGAAAATGTCTCCACGGCCAAATTCCCCTGGGGGGCAAACTGCCTCCAGCTGAGACCCTCTGAGTTGTGAATGTTAGGTCATTCTAGGGCTCTTCCAACTTCGTGAGTTTGTACCTTTCACTGGGAGTTCGTGGCAAGAGCCGACTTCACGCCCAACTCCTCTCTGTAGCCTAATAACCGCACCTCTTGCCATCGAAGCAAGAGTTAAATACCCTTTCTATGCCTAGTTCTTGCTATTTTCCGTTTGCTTTGGAGAATTCAGTAGCCAGTTTCATCTGCCAATCCTCCCACACTCGCTAGTCTAGCCTAAGTGGCCTCCATATTCTAATTTTTTAGGAGATCAGACTTATTCTAAGCTGTTGTACGGGGGGGTCTCACACTTCCGGCTGCATAAGCATCGCTACAAATGCTCATTCAAATGCCCCATTTCCCACTAACTCAGTGTGATTCCCACAAACGTATCAACAGCTGAGACGCTCTTAGGGGAAGAAAGATACCACCCATATTTTTGTCACCTTCCTTTTCCATGGGGAACGAGTCCAATGACTCCAAGCCTTTGCCACTTACCTGAGACCAGGGCCCAGGGCTCCATTCTGGAGGGCAGGCATGGCTGTTGCAGACTTGAACCTGAGTGGGTGTGCTCACTGGGCAGAGAGAATGCAACACCGCTTCCTCCTTTTGGAAGGGCTTCTTCTGGACACACTGGACCTTCCGGCTCTGCTGGCCTCCCGCACATGACCGGCTGCACACGCTCCATTCACCTGGCTTCCAGCTTTCAGTGAAAGACAGAATTACTTCTGGTGAAGCTAAGACTATGGATCATCAATTCCAAAGCAGTTACTGTGAAAGATTAACCACGTGATGAAAGTCTAAGGTCAACTGTAGAACCAATATGGCCAATTCATACTGATTCTGCTTTTATAGATTTTCAAGCCTATGTGAGCGTGGTCCATTTGTAGGGAATCACATGTAATCACCACGTAATTCTGGGGAAAAATACGTTCCTGTCCTCTGCAGGCAAAGAAACATGTGCCATTTGGAAATGCGAGCGATTCATTCGTTCAGCCAATTGGGATCTTAAACCCTGCGCCACGGGACCTCCTAGGCATTAGGGTTGGAAAAGATGGATGAAACAATGCTTCTCCCATTAAGAAGCTTATGGAAGAGGTGGCTATGTGGACAAATAAAGAAGATACTTTCTGATAACTGCTACAAAGAAGTTAATAAAAGTACAATAATGAGACTAATGAAACAAGGGGTCAGTGAGGGGGAGAGAGAGGGGTGTGTGTGCACGCGCGTGCGAGCATCTGAAAGAGAGGGGGGCACATTCGGAGAGGGTCTTACAAAGAATATTTCTAAGTAGGTGGTTCCCCCAACTACTTTTTCTGGTTAGCCTTAAACTTTACTGATGGGTTAGAGATATAATCTCGAGTTCTTTATTTAAAGATTGCCAGGTCACTTCTTTTTTTTTTCACAGCTGTCTGAGACTTGGTGTACACTGAAGAATGATCAACTGCAACCAAGAATCCTTGTCAACAACTGGCTGTGATTAGTTGAAATTCTCTGATTCGAAGGCCTAGCATTAAAAAGATCCACCAGATAGGATGACGATACGTTTCAAAGCATCAATGTCTAAAACTGCTCTTGGTTTACAAATCTTCTAAGTATCATTTGAAAGCATAAAAACATCACTGAGACCAAATGTGTGTTTGTTACACGTCTGCATTTCTGCATCTTCCTAGTCCTTTGATATTTGCTCTGGTTTCCCCTGCCCCCCACAAGCCTGAGGTGTGAGGTTAAAGACCTTTCTTTCTGTTAGTCCAGAGAATTTAGTACATGAGTTCTAGGATTCTAAGTATTCTAAAACATTGCATAATCCATGTTATCTTAGTTAAAGAGAGATGATACCAAATAAAAGAATTCCTTATATTTGTGTAATCATTTTCTCTTACAGTAAGATGCAAAGAAAAGATAAATATTATCATGAAATTATTAGTTTTAATCAACCCCGACCTCACAGACCTGATTCCTCTACTTTCCATTTTCTCCCTTATTGCCTTTTTTTTTTTTTTTTTGGCCGTGTCTTGTGCCTTGTGCAGAGTCCTAACCGCTGGACCACCAGGGAAGTCCCCTTACTGCTTTTTTATATTTATCATTTTTATAGCACGTATCTCACTGCATCTCAATTATCTGTTTACACATCCACCTCTTCCATTCGACGGTGGGTTCATTGATGGCAGGAACTACAAGCTATTCATCTCCACCTTCCAGTCCTCAGCTGAGGGCCTGGCGTACCGTAGGGCATATAACATGGTCATTACATGGGAAAATAATGGAGTTAGATCAGATGAACTCCTTTGTCCTTAGAGCTCTAATAGTCTAAGCCCTTATTTCTAGTATATCTCTGCAGAAGAATAGTCCCTAAAAGGTCCCATTATTCAACAGGAAATACTGAGATAAATAATAGGGTTGCAGGGAATTCCCTGGAAGTCCAGTTGTTAGGACTTCGCAGGTTTGATCCCCGGTCAGGGAACTAAGATCCTGCATGCCTCTCACTGCGAGGCCAAAAAAAAATAGGGTGGCATAAAAGGGAAAAGAAGCAAAAGACACTGCCCATTTCACTCCAACTCTGCAGAGTCACTGCAGGGGCTGTTCTGCTTTTAAAGAGCCAGCAAACTTGTTACTACACAGAATATCATTTCTACGTGGAGCCATCAGGAAAGTTCTGGGAGTTAAGCATGACCAACGCTCTCTCTTCCTTTTCATGGATGTACATACGAATGGGGTTCCTTTCTTTTCTTGGTGGAGATAAACAATGATGGAAAGGAGGCTAAAAACAAGAAAATATTAGCTTGCCATTCAAGTGTACTGACAATCCCTACACGTACCTAAACGTACACATGTGCGCGGGCACACGCGCACACAGCCCCATCTAAGGGAGAGATTATTCCACAAGGATCAATAACACTGTCTGGTTATCACGTCTTAGAGCCACGGGATATTTTTAGAGCCAGACATTTCTTAGCAAGAGAGAAAATTCCATGGAAGCCCCCCACATGTCCTTCTCCTTTTTGTGTTCAGGATACAGCTGGTTCCAAACTCTAAGGGAAAAACGGAGTTGACAGTTGGACCTAGGGGATCGGTGGGGAGCTGAAGCCCCAAACGATTATGACAAATACACTATTTACAAGGAAAAAAATATGTATGTATATAAAAAGATTGTGCAATATAATCGCATCACCACAAAGCAAACGCCACTTACTAAGATGATCGGAAACAGCGGGGAACACAACAGTGCTGTAGGAGAAACGCTGTCAACTCTATATAAATACATTTGGCAGAAGATAAATCAAACAAGAAGAGACTCCATTTGGCTGGGAACGTTAGTTAAAATTAGCGTTCAAATAGTAGTGTGGCTAAAATCAATCCAAAAGCAAACCCACTGAGCTCCCCACCGTGTCTCTTCATCAAAAACGGGGTTACCACTTGGGCTCTACACCCTTCCTTTTAACTTTGTGTCTTGCTACTGTGTAATTTGCATTTGGGCTTTCGTGGGTTGTAGAGTAATATGATTTTTAAATTCTTGGATGACTCTATAAACGTTAAGCATACAACCACATAGAGATTTAACTAACATACGATTCTGTGTTATTTAAATATCTGTTTTAGTTCAGAGAAGAGGGGTCTCTATGAAAAGGTTGAAAAAAGATGTCTTTATGCCTTTTTTTTTACCCCAAGGTTATGGTGGCAGAGCCAGAGTCTGAGTGTGTGAAGCAAATTTGTGCTTTTCAAGTTATATATTTTAACTGCAACTCTTGTCTCCTTTCTTATATTTGCCTTTTTTGGGGGGGTGGGGCGGGGGGTATTCTGTCTATCTTTGAATCACTTTTTTTTTGAGTCACTTTGGATCAGAGGCATCGACAGTGGCTTCAACCATCTCCTATCAACAATAAAGGCACACAAGTACAGATGCAACCAGAAAGACATTTCCAGATGACTTACTAGGCAGGGCAGGAGAAGGCGTTGCACATTTTGGGTTCAGTTGCTGGCTTGGCTCTCGCATTGCAGAATGAGGAATTGACTTGAGTGTTTTGATCCCGTAAGCAAATGGCCTTGACACTTATGTAACCTAATAAGACATGAGAAGTTACAAAGTGAAAATCGCAGGTAACCAATTCCACTTAGTTTCCAAGTGTAGCTTCAGGTTTACCAGGGTTCCGATAATTTACTGAAGATACAGAACCTAAATATTGTACGAAAACACTTCCTTCTGATAAAATCTACAACTAATGTGAATTCCACCCTCATGCCACGCCCCCCCCCCAACAGTTTTCATATTTTAATAGTTTTTAACATGTAGCGTCTTAGTTTTGAAGACTGCCATGGATTCTAGAACGATATAGTAATGAAGGCAGGGCAATATTTTGAAATTGAAAACAGGGCAATATCTGTTTGAGGGAAGTATCCCAGAAGCTTTAACTCACACTGCACATATCTAACGGAAAATGTCCTGCAAAGAAAAATCTTGGGGGAATTATGTGTGGAAACCCTAAGATTTTGCTTTTTCATGAAGCATCTTCTACACTTGCCTGAGAGTGTGTGTACATATAAACAGAAAGTTGAACTCACTGAATATGTGTTCATGCTTGTCCGCAAGGACTCTGGTTTTTTGTTTCTGTCTGGTTCACCCCACTGCCTTGTTTTCGATGTTCATTTCAGGACATCTCATCAAGATACACTTTATTTTGTGTGTGATTAACTGTATTTGTCAGCTCCCCACATAGGAACGCTGCCCCCTCTTTCAATTCTCTTTATTCACATGGACTTTTCCTTAAAATGGAATCTGAGCAACAGTGAAAAGTCACTCCCGCTAGAATGATTAGGTTGAAGGGGGTTTACTTTCAGGAGGAACTGATCAAAATATTGGGACTCCCTAAAGTCAAGAGTTTGCTTCCGGAGAACGTATTCATTTGGACTTGTCTTCTCTTAGACTTCCGACATGCTATGGTCTGTGAGTCACACGAAGGTGTTGCTAACTCAAGGCAAAGGAGAATCCCATAATGCACTTGTCCAGCATCCTCCCCTTGGTTGTATTTATTCCCTGTAAATGGAAAACGGATTGAATCTCTCTCTTTCCCAAGGAACCTGTGCTCTCTCTGGAATACCAGGAAGTTATCGCGAATGATCTCAAAGAGCATTTGATACATGAACAACTGCTCATGCTCGAAGACTACGTGAAAAACAGCATAAAGATTATGGTTTCTGTTCGGTAAAAAAAAGAGAAAAAAGAACAGAAAATGATACATGTGTGGCATGTGTCTGAGTATGTGAAACACATGTGTTTTTATGTTTGCTTCAGAAAAAGAATACGATGTAGACCAAAGTATTAACACTGCTATTGCTGATTAAAAGATTATGGGAGATTATTTTCTTCTTTATAGCATATTGCTTTTAAAATGTGTATGAATAAAAAATATATTCCCTTTTAATTATTTCATATATATTTTTAAAAAGAAGTATTTCTTCATATTTTGTTAACTAGCATGGGCAGCTGAAGACAGAATTTCTTCACTTTCTGTATTTCTGCTCTGTCTCTGGTCCCAAGATGCCCCATTTTGCTCAGTGGGATGGACACAGTAGGGAGACCCTCTGTCACCAGGTGCTCTGAGCATGAGGAAGTGAGGGACCAACCTTCATGCTTTGGTTTCATGGACTCATTTATGGACTCATGCTTCTTCCCAAAGGGCAAGTGGGACAAAGATTGACTTACCAACCAATATGTGATATTTTGGGACCTAAATAAAATGCCTCCCGTCTACGCACTGAGAGGATGGCTGTTGTTTTTCCCTTCCTTACAAGGGCTATTTCTCGGATTTAATCCATTTCCCTGCGGGGCTGGAATGCCACTGCTTCCACGTGTCAGATCGCTGTCTTAAGTCTGCCTTGCGTGTTTTTTCACTGTCTTGCCCCTACCTTCTCCAAGTCCCACTGGGAGGCTGACAGCAACAGAAAAGTCAGGACAGAAAGACAGGAAGCTGTGAGCTGAAAAATCCATCAATGACTCAATCCTTATAAGAAATGGACACATATTTTCTATTTCCCCCCCTTGTACGTTTCAGATGCATAACTTTTGAGTCCTGGTTGTGGCTGACTTGAGAATTGTGTGAGTGGGTTCCTTTCTACATAGGAAAATCCCCGAAGAGTACAAATAATATTTGCTTTTTGGTTTTTTTTTCCCTTACAGTGACAGTTCCCATAAAGATAGTTCTTTTGTTGCTTATTTAAACCATACGGTGGAAAGACGTCTGGAGTGAAAGAACCTGTTTTTTTTTTGTTTGTTTGTTTGTTTTAAAAACAGGGCAGGTGGGGGGGTTCTACAAAAGGAAACTGAGGCAGGGGCCAGACCACACGGGGTCCAGTGGGCCACAACGAGGAGCGTGGGTTTCATCCAAGTGCAAAGAGGAACCATGGATGACTTTGAAGTAGAAGAACATAATTTCATTTTTTTTTCTGTTGCTGTAATTTTTTTTGAATTTAATTTTTTTATACAGCAGGTTCTTATTAGTTATCTATTTTATACATAATAGTGTATATATGTCAATCCCAATCTCCCAATTCATCCCACCACCCACCCCTGCCCGCCACTATTCCCCCCGTGGTGTCCATGTTTGTGCTCTACATCTATGTCTCTATTTCTACCCTGCAAACCAGTGAAAGACCCTGTTTGAGGAGAGACGTGGAAGACGGTGAGGAAATCAACTACCTCCACCACAGGAGAAGGAGCAATCTGACTGCACTGTGCTCCAGGTGTGGCTGTGTCTTTCTGAGGCTGGCTGAGTTCCATTCACGACCTGGGGAAGTGCATACTTCCAAGATATCCCCGGATTTTTGCCTTGCATCAGAATCTGGACAGTGTAAGATACAAATCAGAGATCAAGATACAGGTCAGACCCTGGAATTCCAGAAATCTCACTGAACATTTTAGAGATATTTGCATGCCATTTTGACCTCAAAGCCGGTTCACATCATTGTTCCCAAGTAGGTTTTATGTTGATTTAAAGTTTGCCCATGACACTTTAAAATGTGTACCTCTAGAGCATCAGAACTGTGATTTAGAAAGACAGTAGGAAAACAGGACATTTGCTATAAGCCCACAACCCTCAGTTCTAGGCATATCCAATGAATAAGGCAAGAAAATAGATTTTTACCTTGTGTTGAAGGAGAGGTTATACTATGAGGTCTCAACCTTCACTTTAAACTTGAAAGCCTAGCATGATACTAAAATATGCTAACTCTCAAAACAGGCATAAAACTCTCAGCAGAAATCATTCTCATACTGAATACTGGGTAGATATATGTGGAACCTCCCAGGTTTGGGATGTTTAAATGTCTTTCCCCCCCCCTACGGTCTCAAACCTTTGGCCCATATATCTTTGTTCTATTATTTTAGGTATGACACTAGACAGTTCAACAACTCTTGCAGAGAGGTTCTAGTCATGGTGGTGCTCCAGAGATAACGGCTGAAATTGAATCAGCGTATATAGACTTTTATGATTTATCCTGGCTCACAACTTATAATCCCTCTCCTGGATGCCAGTAGATGCTAGACACAAGGGAAGCACACAGAAAACCTCAGAACACCCCACTTAGAATCCCTATCATCAACCTTAGAATCCAGGCAGATTCCCAATAGGATTTCCAAAGAGAATCTGCCCAAAGAGCAGGTGTCTGTTAACTGTGTCCCAGGATGAGCAGATAAGACAAAAAGAAATACGATCAGACGTCGTGGTTGGTAATATATATACTGGAATGGATCTGACCTCAAAAGGGCAAGGACTTGGGATAAATCTGACACTATCAGGTCTGACTACAAAAATAAGAGCCATCATTTACTGGCACTTCCCAGGTGTCAGACACTCTGCTGGGCTTTTTCTATGCATTATTTCAAGAGTCCTCTAACAACTCTATAATGTAGGTGTCTATTTTTTCATCGAAAAAAAAAAAACTGAGAAGAATGAACTTGTGCAAGATCACACAGGTGACTGGTGAATGAAATTAAAATAGAATTTAGGCCCTCCAACAAAATGTGCCTAAAGACTGTAAGATATCACCTTTTTTTTTTTCTTGGAGTATAGTTGATTTACAATGTTGTGTTACTTTCAGGTGTAGCAAAGTGATTCTGTTATAGGTGTGTGTGTATATATATGTGTGTGTGTGTGTGCGCACATGTGTGTATGTATATATATTCTTTTCCAAATTCTTTTCCATCATAGGTTATTACAAGATATTGAATAGGGCTTCCCTGGTGGCGCAGTGGTTGAGAGTCTGCCTGCCGATGCAGGGGACAAGGGTTTGTGCCCCAGTCCGGGAAGATCCTGCATGCTGCGGCGCGGCTGGGCCCGTGAGCCATGGCCGCTGAGCCTGCGCGTCCGGAGCCTGTGCTCCGCAACGGGAGAGGCCACAGCAGTGAGAGGCCCGCGTACCCAAAAAAAAAAAAAAAAAGGTATCGAATAGAGTCCCCTGTGCTATACAGTAGGGCCTTGTTGTTCATCTATTTTATATATAGTAATGTGTATCTGTTCATCCCAAGCTCCTGATTTATCCCCCCACCCCTTCCCCTTTGGTAACCGTAAGTTTGTTTTCTGTGTCTGGATATCACCTTGTTTTTGGTTTAGGCAAACACATTATCACATTATTTGCCTCCCTTCCTGATCCTCTCTTTTCTTTTTTTTTTTTTTTGCAGTATGCGGGCCTCTCACTGCTGTGGCCTCTCCCACTGCGGAGCGCAGGCTCAGCGGCCATGGCTCACGGGCCCAGCCGCTCCGCGGCATGTGGG